CCGCTACAACTGGTTACCAGAGCAACACAAACAACATCAACTCTTACATGCTTCCTATGATGATGGGTATGGATCAAGGAAGTCACATGGCAACTCTCGGAATGATGATGAACTCCAAACAAGGCAACAACATGCTCCCCTTCTACATGATGAACCAAGGGTATGAGAACATGCTACCCATGATCGCCTTCATGAACCGCGGGAACCAGAGAGGCCAGAGGATGAACCCCTTCATGATGATGACTCTTCATGAAGCGATGAACTAAAGAATTGACTAAACTGTGGTGTCATATTTGAGTGAATGCTAGAGGTTGATTATTTATGTATGTTTGTTAGATGGTATCCCATGATGCACTCTCAAAACGTTGATGTCATGATTATTTATTGACTTATTTATGAAACAATAATAATTTATTGAATAAAATCTCTTCAATCATACATGATTATGCGGTTGTTGTTTTAAACCTATATACAACATGTGCACTTTCGGCGAATTGATGATACCGTTACATTACATTCGTCCTCACACACTAATTGGTGTCATGACCAGCGGCAACCAGAGAGGCTTCTGCATTAACGTGACAATACATTAACAGTGTCGCGGTATTGATGATAGTGTTCATACGTTCATTCCCAATTCACAATGTGAAGGTATTTACCATATAATTGAGACAGTGAGTGAGTGAGCTGGGTTTAACGCCGCTTTTAACAGTATACCCATTATATCACGGCGTGTCAGCTTAATGTCGGGGGAAAGCCCGAGGTAATGCAGGTCTCAGACGTTTACCACTTCGGTGAAACCCACGAGCACGGGTATGGTGCTGACAAACCTAGAACCTCGGGTAGCCTAGTGGTTAAAGCGTTCGGTCGTCACGCCGAAGACCCGGGTTCGATTCCCGACATGGGTACAATGTGTGAAGCCCATTTCAGGTGTCCCCGCCGTGATATTGCTTGAATATTGCTAAAAGCGGCGTAAAACCATACTCATTCACTCTAAATCTGAGGGACACTGCAATCGTTTGCAAACATTGCGTTGTCTTTACCCTGCACAAGGAAACGAGTGTTGTATGTGATTGTATCATAATGTCCCTTTCGTCATCATAATGTACCGTTCAGGGACCCGTTCCACAAAGCATCAACACGACAGTACGTAGTAACTCCTAATAACATCTTCTAATTTCAACTGGGAGTATTAGTATCTCAGAGCTAGTGATGGAATTACATAACCAACGTAAAAGAATACGAAGACAAGCAAAGGTGGTCGTTGAGGACGTTACGGTATATGCGCTGAATGCTCCTACAGATACATCATCAATGTGGAAGGTCATTAGAGGTATTTCAAAACCTGCGTCTACTGGTATGTCAACATACGTCAGCATACATGGCATAAGAATAGATTCAATAAATAAAAGCAACAAAACCCTTCCCGTATTCATAAAATATATCTGCTAAAATTGTCCATTGTTCGTGTCTGTTCTTGACGCTTGCGTTACCATGAGGAAATTTATAATGCCATTCATCTAAACAAAAACGGTAAAGCAGCAAGTGTTGATATGTGATCGAAATGTTAAAAATTCCAGAAAACGTTGTCATGCCATGTACTCTTGTATCAACACGACAAAAATAAGGAAAATCAAACGGGGTTGCCATAGATATAGTTTCATCTTTATATTCAAAGGTTCGGGACAATTTGTCAAAAATGAAAGCAAATATCATCTGAAGTTTACTGAGAAGAGGGAAATGCCAGACTTCAAAAAAATATATAATGTTAATGCCAAAACATATTCAGTCTCGATTAACTGCCGACAGGTATTCCATTGGACTCTAAAGGCAAAATAGTGGTTTAGATTATATGAATGGATCACCGCAAATGTTAAAACCTTTGCAGTAATGACACCAGATGTTCGTGAAAAGGAGCAACGCATTCTTCCCTATCGGTAGCACCCGCCACTCACACATTTTGCAAACCATCTGTGTTACGTTTGGGGATGGGACATTCAGGACATGGGCGCCCCCTTGGTGGTGTGTTTCTTTAGGCATACGAGTCTGAATCTTTTTTTGGATCGTCAAAATGAAAACAAGGAAATTTGGCCAACAAGTTTAACTTTAGCTTCAGGTGTATCCATTATCTGATATCGTTATATGACGGTCAAATAGTTAATACCCTTCCACTGATAAATCCACCTAATTTAGAAATAAGAAATAAGAAGACTGAAACCTCTTATCCGTTACATGTTCAGATCAATACATAAAGATTCAGGGTGTCATAAACTATACACAAGACTGTATGACAAGGGGAATGGTTTCGACTGTCCAATAGTCAAATGTCCCTTCATGTCGAGCAATATTCCAGCAGCTCTAGCCTTATGGCGTCCACTTTAGGGTACTTTTGAGCTGCAATCGAGCATACTCTTTGCCTTTGCAATGTGTTTGTGATGGGTGCCATCGATGGGGCAGGATACGCACACCTTTTCGCGAATAACTGGCTACATCAATAGTAGATAGTGATTCATGAACACTTGCTAATGAAGTAGAACCACCGAATTATTTGTTTACATTAACTTTAAGACAATATCATTCAGTATTTATTACATGTCTGCCCATTATGTAACAATGGAATTGAAAATGTACATTATTTTGTCATATTATATTCCGTGTGTAATGATTTACACAAGACTGTATGGCAAGAGGAAAGATTTCGACTGTCTAATTTCCCTTTATGTCTAGCAATATTCCAGCAGCTCTTGCCTTCTACGTGTCTACTAAGACATGCGTTTGCATGTTGACTTGCCTTTGCATGTGTTTGTGATGGGTGCCACCGGTGGGGCATCACTATTTGATAGTGATTCATAAACACATACTCATGATGTAGAACCTGATCAATATTTATACCAGTATACAGTAACTTTAAGAAAGTATCATTCAGTATTTATTACGTGTATGTTCATGATGAAACAATGGATTTACAAATGAATATAAATTTGTTTCAGTTTGCCACTTGTATAATCTTTTTATCCGCTTAAACACTGAAAAGGAAACTCTTCCTCGGCAATTAAACAAACTTTGATTACATACCATTTCTACAGGAAGTGCACTGATACAATAGACGCAAGCTCAATGTTAAATGGTACTTTGCACTGATGCACTGATGCTATATCTTACATCCTTCTTTTATCAAATACTTCAAAAGCATATCGTAATTTGTATACCTGAGAAAATAAGCTCTGAAATTACCCAAGGTAATTAATGGTTTATCATCGTATTGAATTGTAGAGACTAAGTAGTAAAGTATTGAATTGTCTAGACGAGGTGGTAAGATATTGAATTGAATAGACTAAGTGGTAAGGTATTGAATTGTATAGACTAAGTAGTAAAGTATTGAATTGTCTAGACGAAGTTGTAAGGTATTGAATGGTATAGACTAAGTGGTATGGTATTGAATTGTATAGACTAAGTTGTATGGTATTAAATCGTACAGACAAAATGGTATGGTATTGAATTGTATAGACTAAGTGGTAAAGTATTGAATTGTATCGACTAAGTGGTATGGTATTGAATTGTATAGACTAAGTTGTATGGTATTGAATTGTATAGACTAAGTGGTAAAGTATTGAATTGTACAGACAAATTGGTAAGGTATTGCATTATATAGACTAAGTGGTAAAGTATTGAATTGTATAGACTAAGTAGTAAAGTATTGAATTGTCTAGACGAAGTGGTAAAGTATTGCATTATATAGACTAAGTGGTAAGGTATTGAATTGTATAGACTAAGTAGTAAAGTATTGAATTGTCTAGACGAAGTGGTAAAGTATTGCATTATATAGACTAAGTGGTAAGGTATTGAATTGTATAGACTAAGTAGTAAAGTATTGAATTGTATAGACTAAGTGGTAAAGTATTGAATTGTACAGACAAAGTGCTAAGGTATTGCATTATATAGACTAAGTGATAAAGTATTGAATTGTATAGACTAAGTAGTAAGGTCTTGAATTATATAGACTAAGTGGTAAGGTATTGCATTATATAGACTAAGCGGTAAAGTATTGAATTGTATAGACTAAGTTGTAAGGTATTGAATTATATAGACTATGTGGTAAGGTATTGCATTATATAGACAAAGTGGTAAGGTATTGAATTATATAAGATATTGAACGTTCAACAACAAACAAACATGTCAGAATTCCTTCCTTGTATATTGACATGTTGTTTTTTTCCTTCCAATAGAAAGGAAAACTGCGTTTATGTGAGGGGTTCATTCGGTATGTCGCAGACATGACTTATTTGCACTTATTGCACTTCTTTATATATTGTTCGTTATTTAACAAAACAGACAAAATTGGTATTGTTATAGTTTAACAAAACGTTTAAACAATTAACATAACACGGTTGTCCCGGTGGAGCATCCTTCAGTAAACCCATGCTTGCCGTAAAAGGTGACTTTGCTTGTCGTAAAAGGTGACTTTGCTTGTCGTAAAAGGTGCCTTTGCTTGTCGTAAAAGGCGACTATCGGGATCGGGTGGTCAGGCTCGCTGACTTGGTTGATGCATATCATCGATCCCAATTGCGTGGATCGATGCTCATGATGTCGATCACTGGATTGTCTGGTCCAGACTCGATTATTTACAGACCGCCGTCATATAGCTGGAATAGTGCTGAGTGCGGCGTTAAACAACAAACAAACAAACAAACAAAACATCCTTCAGTAGCCTGGCCTTGTCACAGAAATAGGGATCTGTCCAACACTGATGCAGGACAAGTCACATAACCAACACCCGCTCTATTAACATGAAGAAGCTTTGTGTCAGGAAACGCCTGAGGGAAGAATGTATATGTCCAACCTAATGCAACACGTTGCTTTATTAGTGAGTGAATTAGGTAATTATGACATTCTAGATGTATTACTTCATCTCGGACACGAAGAAACTGGAATGATCTGAAGAGTGATGTGATATGAAGTGGTATATATACCACATACTCTGTCCCAGACAACACTCATTGCCAGCATCTTCTTGCATCTTGAAGGTAACTTTGTGGGTCCAGGTTGCTTTACGTGTGTGCATCTTATCTTAATGCGTTTGTTTTGTTAGCATGTTGACACTTATAGAATTTAATATTTACTTTAGTTTACATAGTGTGTTAATTCTTCACTGTATTTACATTCTAAATAGTTGAAGCTTTACCATACATTCTTATATTCATAGTATTTACTGAACCTCTACCAATACGATGTGCAATAGGATACGGGAATTTGTATATATTCTATTTTGGTGTTTACATGTCGGAACATTCTCTTTCTGCCAAGATTTTAAAGAGCGTCATACGACTCTTGCTCTGAAGTTGTTTGATCAAGGTTCCAACATTCAAGGCCTCTGTAGAGCTTTCAAAAAGTTTTATGGTAGACATTTAGAGGACATTACCAAATTTGACGCATCAGTGAGAAAAATCATTTCCGTTGCAATTCCCTATTCGGACTTGTACCATATGTTCCCATGTTGTTTTTTCAGGTGAACAATTGACTTGCCTTTGCAAGTGTTTGTGACGGGTGCCACCGGTGGGTCAGGATACGCTCACCTTTTCGCGAACACCTGGTATCATCACTATTTGATTCATAAACACATGCTCATGATATAGTCTGAATTGTACAATCGACTCTGCTTTATGCAGAGATTTCTTTTGGATATGAAAAGGGTTTTGTCGCTTTATTTAAATTATGTACTATTTACTGTAATGTATTTATTCTTTACTTACAGACGAAATAACATAAACATGAAGGTTTTCTTTCTGTGTGTGGTGGCTGTCGTGTTCGGTGTCGTCGCTCGAGGTGAGTTGATCTTCCTATGGTGATTGAGTTGAACATAAAGCCTGATCAGTTCTATGTATTTGATAGTGATTCATATACAGATGCTTATTATATAGTTGGAATCGTACACTGGACTGTGAGTTTTGCAGAGATTTCTTATGATCATGGAAAGGGCTGTGTCTCTTTTATTATACAGTAAACTACGGTTATAACGAACTCAAAGGGACCACTAATTTTAGTTTGTTATAATCGTAGTTCGTTATAAGCATATATAACATATATACCGCAAATGGCCGGGGGAAAAAAACCAGTTCGTTATCTCCGTCTGTTCGTTAGAAGCGTGTTCGTTATAAACGTAGTTTACTGTAATTACAAATATTTTTATAAAAAGAAATTGTCGATTTTATTCAGACATAATTATCGCTTGGCTGAAATCCAACAGCTACAGGCAACTTTTTGCTAATAGGCGTTACTGATTAAATACTTTATTAAAGTGTTTTCAAAATTATTTAGCAAAATATTCAATTAGTAAGAGATGGTGATTTGTGAGGTATGGTTTCTGTTTAACAGCGCAGTCCCCTGCAACTAATGCCACAACTGTCGATGCTCAGACAAGTGCTACAGTCCCACAAGGAAACCCTTCAACAAATATCCACGTCCCACAAGGAAACCCTTCAACAAATACCCACGTCCCACAAGGAAACCCTTCAACAAACATCCACGTCCCACAAGGAAACCCTTCAACAAACATCCCAAACTATCATATGATGAACACCCAAGGATACCCCACGACAAACCCACACGCCCCATATGGATTCCCCGTGATGAACACCCAAGGATACCCCACGACAAACCGACGCGCCCCATATGGATTCCCCGTGATGAACACTCAAGGGTACTCCATGGCAAACACCCAAGGATATCAAATGGCGAATACCCAAGGATACCCAATGACGAACAACCAAGGCTATCAAATGACGGAAAACCCGGTCTATCCAATGACCATCGGCAATAGCATGCCTACTAATAATGGTTACCACGGCAACATCTTGCCCGCCAACAACCATTACCAAACCTTAGGGAACACCAACAACGTCAACTCTTACATGCTTCCAATGATGATGGGTATGGATCAAGGAAGTCACATGGCAACTCTCGGAATGATGATGAACTCGAGGCAGGGCAACAGCATTCTCCCCTTCTACATGATGAACCAAGGGTATGAGAACATGCTTCCCATGATGGCCTTCATGAACCGCGGGAACCAGAGAGGCCAGAGGATGAACCCCTTCATGATGATGACCCTTCATGAAGCGATGAACTAAAGAATTGACTAAATATTTGAGTGAACACAAGAGGTTGATTATTTGTGTATGTTTGTTGGATGGTATCCCACGATGCACGTCCAAAACCATTATATCATGACTATTTATTGAATAATTTATAACAATAATAATTTATTGAATAAAATTTCTTTAATCATACATGCTATTGAGTTTGTTGTTTCAAATCTACATGCCAACTTTAACACCATGTAGAATATTATGTTTTCCTGTTGGTCAGGACTACATTTAAAAATATATGTACACATTTTTATACGATAATATATTTATTTATTAAACAGATTTTTATTTTATTTTTAAAACTGTTAACTATTTATGTTCACTTTGGATAAGCATCATTATTCACTGGTTTGAATTTAACATGGTATTCATAACAAGATATATGTCTTCACGTACATGTAGATGGATCTACCTGAGTTCATAAATTCATCACTTTCAACATATCACGCATGAAGAGTTTTCACCTTTTTATATAAACAATATGCAGTAAACTACGGTTATAACGAACTCAAAGGGATCAGTAATTTTAGTTCGTAATAACCGTAGTTCGTTATAAGCATATATGCAGCATAATTATATACAGTAAATGGCCGGGACAAAAAACAAGTTCGTTATATATGCGTCAGTTCGTTATGAGCGTGTTCGTAATAAACGTAGATGTCCTGATCATACACTATCATACACTTTCCCGCCAGTGTTGAAGGGAATTATTAACACATCAATAACAACAGTGTTAAAATTTATATGAAGGCGAAAGTGTAAAGTGCAAAATATTAATTATATAATATTTAGTATGCATTATTTGAATATTAGAAACATAGTGTTGACGAAGACATATCTGCGCTTCAGTAGGAGTAACTGCGTTATTTCTGCATTACAAGAGCCCACTCGACTTGTCACTCGACCCCACTCGGCATATTCCGGTATTTACGGAGCAAACATAGTTCGGGTAACAATGGCGTAGTGATATTACATGTAGTCACAGATTTTCCGGCGCTTATATAAATTAGGTATACGATAATTTGATGACAAAAGCAACCAGAAACAAGTTATACAGTTAACAAGCTATACAATTAAATAGTTATAGAAGGTGCACGACTACGGCCAAATGGTGTTGTATCCATGTATTGTCACGTGAATGAAACTAGTTACAAAATGGCGTCTTGTCAGTGTTGTCCGAGATGAGCCGAAGGCGACGTTATGTGAAGGATGTCTGGTCGAGGCTGTGTTACCTTAGCCTGGGGCAATGTAATACAAATGACCATCCATCACCTGTTATACCCGAATGAGTGAATTAGGTTTAAGCCCTGTTTATTTACTGTTCACAACACTAAATGTATTGGTAAGGCTATATTATGTCGAAAAGGCTGATTTTGCGGTTTGTGTGTGTGTGTGGAGTGGGGGTGGGGGCGGGGGGTGGGGTGGGGGGTGGGGAAAGGGGGTAGGGGTGGAGGGGGGGGGGGGGGGGGGTTTGCTCATTCTTGATTTTGACATTTTAGTGAAAGAGCCAGTAGTATTTTTGATTTTTATTAACCACTAAAACACCGTAAGCTGTCCCTGGGAATGCGTCGTCTACAACGTGAAGACCACCTACTGGCTTTTGGCATGCTTCTGACTGATAGTGGGAGGTTTCCAATACATGCAATGTGTCTCAGCCTGTGATTTGCCGATTTGGAACATGTTTCTGCAGAATATAAAATGTTGATGATCGACCCTGCACAGGGGGCCTTAATCAGGATTAAGTCCAGGATCGATTAATCAGAAACCAAGCTTTACGAAATCGGGCCCAAACAGTCAATCAGATCTCTGTTCACTTGCGCAAGGACACCAGTGTTCAACTTACTGACCAGAAATCGACTTCATACAGCGAATCTGCATGCTCGGCGACCACGTGTTGGATCACAGTTAAAAAAATTACACATTCTAGCCAGACACCGGTGGTATTATGAGCGTAGAAACTGGGACAATCGCCGGTGATCTCGAGTAATGGACTTTCTGGGTAGGCGTGGACGTGTCTGGGGCGTCCTAATGATCGTTAATGTTACAGATTTGTGGGTGGGTCGGTAATGTGGGGCGGGATCACTGGGACTGCTAGAAAACAACTGCCAGGAAGGCATGGAGTGAGTAAGTGAGTGAGTGAGTGTGGTTTTACGCCGCTTTTAGCAATATTCAAGCAATATTACGGCGGGGGACACCAGAAATGGGCTTCACAAATTGTAACCATGTCGAGAATCGAACCCAGGTCTTCGACGTGACGAGCGAACGCTTTAACCACTAGGCTACCCGACCGCCCCAGGAAGGCATGGAAGGGTCGCTGGACAGTACCACCTAGATAAAATATTGGCGCCAATTGTCCACGTTTTGTCTTTCAAGAATATAACGCTTGTGTCCACCGTGCTGACTAAATTACAATGGCCAGCCATGATGCTTGACCTTACCCCCACAGAGAACGTTTGTACGCCGACGTCAACGTCCAACGACTAGACATGTCTCCCTCAAATTGTCATTTGGAGATTGATTCGGACTATGCCATGCCATATAAACGAATGTTTGACCAATTGTGGGGGCATAACCCATTGGTCAGGTCATCTATAAAGCACCTTTTTCACTTCGCATTCCTGTCGCTTTTCTTGGTTGTTTGCACCCAAACACCGCCAACATGTTCTGTTGATTGTCATGTCACACACAGTCATTACTTTTGCCTATCCATCCACAACTATCTGTGTATTTCTCTAATCATCTGTTATTTTTCGCATATCCCCTACTTTCCTTGCAGAGTATATATGAGGCACGAAAGGTTTCACTGGGGATTCGATGTTTAGAAATGCTAAGCGCCTTTTAGTACCCAGTCGTTTCTTGGCGCCGCAATTAGCTGTGCAGAGTTGCGTCCGTTGGGCACGCCAGAAACCTATGATTGTGGGTTCGAATCCCGGTTCGCCCCTGTTTGTAGGTTTGTCAACACCATACCCGTGCTCGTGGGTTTCATTAAAGTGGTAAACGACCTGCATCACTTCGGGCTTTCCTCCCACATCAAGCTGAGACGCTGGATATAACTGGACTACTGTTAAAAGCAGGGTTAAACCCAACTCACTCACTCACTCATTGATAGGAACTTGCAGATTGAGGTTGGTCCGGTAACCTATATGACTATCCCAAAATCGGTAAATTCTAGGCCACAAAATCATTATATGAATATTAAATAAACATTTATAGAAAGTGTTCCAGCACTTTATTGCTCGTCGTAAGTGACGACCTAATGTTTGTTTGTTTGTTTGCCTTTTTAACGCCGCGCTCAGCGACATTCCAGCTATATGACGGCGATCTGTAAATAATCGAGTCTGACCAGACAATCCAGTGATTGACATTAAGTTCGCATGGAAAATGTTTGTTTGGATAGTATGGACAGATCAGTATGATAGACATTTAATGCCTTTGTATGAATAGCAAATATGTGAATGCATATGGCGTTTAATCACTCCAGGAGGACAAGCCCGTTTCAATAGGACGTGGGCGTAATAGTAGATTTAGGACGTGTTTCCAGGCATGTCGTAGGTCTTTGTGCTAAGCATAGGGCATTTTGGTGTCCATGGAATTCTTTATCAGCTATGGCATCTATAGCAGATACGGAACTTATCATGGGTAGGACTTTGTAGGTAAAGGCCGTTTAGCTCTCCCTGATGGTTTGAGAACCTTTACGCGAACACCTGGTGTCATCACTATTTGATAGCGATTGATAAACACATGGTCATGATATAGTCGGATTCGTACAATCGACTCTGCTTCATGCAGAAATTTCTATTGGATATGGAAAGGGTTTTGTCGCTTTATTTCCCACCTTCAACGCAATTCTTTCTCTCTTTCTGCTTCTGTGCTCATTATCAAATAATATCCCCATCACTAGATGGCTGTAATATGATATCCCCATCACTATATGGCTGTAATATGATATCCCCATCACTATATGGCTGTAATATGATATACCCATCACTATATGGCTGCAATATGATATCCCCATCACTATATGGCTGCAATATGATATCCCCATCACTATATGGCTGCAATATGATATCCCCATCACTATATGGCTGTAATATGATATCTCCATCACTATATGGCTGCAATATGATATCCCCATCACTATATGGCTGCAATATGATATCCCCATCACTATATGGCTGCAATATGATATCCCCATCACTATATGGCTGTAATATGATATCTCCATCACTATATGGCTGCAATATGATATCCCCATCACTATATGGCTGCAATATGATATCCCCATCACTATATGGCTGCAATATGATATCCCCATCACTATATGGCTGCAATATGATATCCCCATCACTATATGGCTGCAATATGATATCCCCATCACTATATGGCTGCAATATGATATCCCCATCACTATATGGCTGCAATATGATATCCCCATCACTATATGGCTGTAATATGATATCTCCATCACTATATGGCTGCAATATGATATCCCCATCACTATATGGCTGCAATATGATATCCCCATCACTATATGGCTGCAATATGATATCCCCATCACTATATGGCTGCAATATTGCCGATGCGATGTGAAAATTTACATAGTAATGTATTCGCAGCCTACAATTTCGGGATTTCCTCCCACATCAAGCAGACGCGGCTTGATATAGCTGGAATACTCATTTCATAACATCGATATTTACATACGTTTCTTAATAACCTTTCATCGTTTGAAGACAGAAGCGTTCAAAATATATACATATTTTGATAATGACAATAGAGAGTAGACAGATATAGGTGTTTATGTTCTTATAGGAATTACATATTAAAGTAAAATGGGGTTCACCCTCTATCCCTTGATTACAAAGAGGACACATACGTTAACTTAAATAAACCCCAACTACCTCCCTTCGTTAGCCTTCAAGCTTAAACTTTCTTCACCATAAACCTCTTTTTAGTGCCTCAAAGTGAGATTGACCAATCAGAGAGCAGAACTACTGACCCCACATGAGCCCGTATACCGTCAGTAAAAATCCAAGATGGATGATACTGACCTAATATGAGCCCGTTTTCCGTCAGTAAAAATCCAAGAAAGTTGATACTGACTTAATATGAGCCCGAATACCG